GGACTTGTCTGGAAACGGCAGAGTGTTCTCCGAAAGTGTGGAGATATCCGAAAATGAAAGGAATGAAAGCGTGGAAAAGAGCCACCAGAAAAACGTCAAAAAAATGCTCTTCGTCGATCGCGCCTTCGGGCGAAAAGTCGCCGAAGCGGCAAAACGCCTCGCGGCGCTTTTCGCTGGAGATCACTTCGTGCGCCTGCGCAAACCCTAAACCCTAAACCCTAAACCCTAAACCCTAAACCCTAAACCCTAAACCCTAGCCTAGACCCTAGCCCTGGGGGCTGGGGGCTGGGGGGCGGGGTTGCAGGCCGTGGGGAAAGCCGCAGGCGCCGGGGGAAAAAACGCAGAAACTGCTCCGCAAACCCTAAACCCTAAACCCTAAACCCTAAACCCTAAACCCTAAACCCTAGCCCTAGACCCTAGCCCTAAACCCTGGGCGCTGGGTGTTGGGGAGCGGGTTGCAGGCCTTGGGGAAAGCCGCAGGCGCGGGGGGTGGAAAGAACGGAGAAACTGCTCCGCAAACCCTAAACCCTAAACCCTAAACCCTAAACCCTAAACCCTAGACTGGCGGCAGTCGGAAGTGCTGCGAACTGACCTCGCGAATCTTCGCAAACATTTCTTTTGCCTCCATCGAAGGGTTTTTGTCCTGGCGCGCAAACCCCAAACCCTAAACCCTAAACCCTAAGCCGGCCGCCCGAGGGTTTGTGCTTCAGAGCTCAGAAACTAGGGTTTAGGGTTTAGGGTTTAGGGTTTAGGGTTTAGGGTTTCTTACTGGATGGTACATTAGAGACAGTCTGCGGTAGGCAGAAGACACAACTCGGGGAGGAGCGTTTGGAGGGACTCCGATGGTTTCGAAGTGGTTTGGCGCGCGGCTTGACTAAACACAAACCCTAAACCCTAAACCCTAAACCCTAAACCCTAAACCCTAAACCCTAAACCCTAGGTCTTGGGCTGGCAAGTCGCTGCGGCATTCCCGCGCCCTAAACCCTAAACCTCAGACGCCGCAAACTCGCTAAACCCTAAACCCTAGTGGAGGCTGAGCTCATTGGGGTTTAGGGTTTAGGGTTTAGGGCTTGAAGATAAAATCAGGTTCTAGGGTTTAGGGTTTAGGGTTTGGGACTCACCTGGAGAACTCCTATGGCGAAGAGAGCGATGAGAGCTATCGTGGCTCCTGCGCGCGGGCAAACAGCAAAAACCCCAAACCCTAAACCCTAAACCCTAAACCCTAAACCCTAAACCCTAAACCCTCAAATTAGGGCTTACCAACTTTGGTGGACTTCCGGTTCCATGGTCTCTCTGAAGGCGACAGCAGACAAAAGCACCCAAACCCTAAACCCTAAACCCTAAACCCTAAACCCTAAACCCTAGCCCTTGAGGCTGACTTCCCTTCTCCCTGCGGCTTCCCAATAGTGAAACTCCACATGCCTGTTCAGTCACTTTGAACAAACCCTAAACCCTAAACCCTAAACCCTAAACCCTAAACCCTAGTCCCTTGCGCCTAAACCTTAAACCTTCCTCTCTGAGGACCTGCCTCCAGCTCCCATACAGTAAACCCTAAACCCTAAACCCTAAACCCTAAACAGGAACTTTGAAGGCCTGGGCCCCGTGGAAAAGAACCCTAAACCCTAAACCCTAAACCCTAAACCCTAAACCCTAAACCCTAAGCCCTCCTCACCTATATTTGTTATCCACCTGGTGAGAGGCACCACAAAGAGCATATGGAAAAATATATCCTCCATTTTGTCGAAGTCGTCAAACCCTAAACCCTAAACCCTAAACCCTAAACCCTAAGCGCTGGGCCCCGGACCCAGGGCGCTTGCATGGCTTCCTGTTGAGACAAAATGTAGAGAAAAAGCATAAACCCTAAAGTCTTAAACCGTAACTCTAAACCCTAAACCCTAAACCCTAAACCCTAAACCCTTCTGCATGCAAACTCTACCAAACCTCGAGAGCGAGAGCAACTGCAGCCCCTGAGCCCCAAACCCTAAACCCTAAACCCCAAACTAGGGTTTGGGGTTACGCGTTAGCACTAAACCCTTAATTAAAAACAAAAAGAGGAATCTGTTTTTTTGCTTCTTCTAATTGCTTTTTAACTGGCCGCAGTCTAGGGCCTAGGGCTTAGGGTTTAGGGTTTAGGGTTTAGGGTTTAGGGTTTAGGGTTTAGGGTTTAGGTGTTTCCACACCACATTTTCCTCGAACGGTTTGTTTGTCCGTCTTAAACCCTTTTTGGTTGACCTCGCAAACCCGAAACCCTAAACCCTTGAACACCAGACCCTAAACCCTAAACCCTCGCGCACCAGACCCTAAACCCTAAACCCTAGAGCACCGGCTCCAACCGCAAACCCTAAACCCTAAACCCTTGTCATGCAAGTGGCCTTTCAAAGCTCTGATATCTTTTGTCTCTCCCGCTGCGGCTTTGCCGCTTCAGCTGAGCCTCCAAACCCTAAACCCTAAACCCTAAACCCTAAACCCTCACCCCTCCGGCTTTACGGCGCAGCGACAGCATGCAAACCCTAAACCCTAAACCCTAAACCCGCAGGGTTTAGCCGCCATGAAGACCTGCCCTGCAGCTGCATCAGCGCAGCAGCAGCAGCAGCAGAGGAGCCACAGTTCTGCTGCTGCTGCGCCCGTTGCTGCTGCACCTACTGCTGCTGCTGCTGCTGCGCCCGTTGCTGCTGCACCTGCTGCTGCTGCTGCCGCTTGCAGCAATTTAGAAGCAGCAGCAGCGGCAACAACAGCAGCAGCAGCAGCAGCACGTCATGTAGAACCAACGGCGGCAACAGCAGCAGCAACTGCAGCAGCAGAAACAGCAGCAGCAGAAACAGCAGCAGCAAAAACAACAGCAGCAACAACAGGTAGAACTGCGCAAAATAGAAAGGCAGCAGCAGCAGCAGCGAGTGTTGCAAAACCAGCAGCAGAAGCAGCAGCAGCGAATGTTGCAAAGCCAGCAGCAGCAGCAGCAAATGCTGCAAAACCAGCAGCAGCAGCAGCAGCAGCAGCAGCAGCAGCAGCAGCAACTTACAAAACTGCTGCTGCCAATTTTTCTCCCTTCTTTTTTGAGTTTTCAGAAATACCGAAAGTTTGCAGCGAGCAATTTGCGCTGTACATACAGCCCAAGTCTGCTGCTGCTGCTGCTGCTGCTGCTGCAGCAGCAAGGGGAGCAGCAAA